GGTATCAAGATATCAATGATGTAACTTGTAGCCACGATAATAAAAATGCTCATAAATAATAATACTAGTAATAAAGTTTTATTTTTCTTCAATAGTTTGATGAAGGACAGCTACAGGTAAAAGCTGCTCCCCGAAATAGACAGCTTGACAAAGGCCCACAGCCACCTTTCAGACCGACAGCAGTGGCGAATAGTCAGTAATGTGAACTCAACAACAACAACAACAACAACAACAACAACAACAAAAGAATAAATAAACAGGTAAAATATAAACAATATAAATATACATTCCAAATTCCAAAACAAAAATAGCAACCACGATACTACAGCAACTGCAAATAAATCTTAAAAACTAAATATGTGTATATTGCGTAATTCAGTCTATGCCCTGTATAAGAAATTTATGCCCGCTTTTACATAGACATTAAGTAACGTAGGAAATATGTAAGATAACGTTTCTGTGGAAGAGTTTGTTTTCGAAGTTTTAAAGACGGTCGTCTTTCTTGGGTTCGTCTGCGCAAACATTTTGGTCTATCTCTCTGTATCTTTGTCTGTTTGTCCACTCTTAACAGCACCGGGTACTTGAAATGGCCGACACCATTCGCAGTGCCCACCAATGTTGCTCAAGATTTAGCGTTCATACTTGTGCAACTGTCAGTAAAAAGCAAATATTGCCCATATCTGGGGCACCATAAGAACACGTATATGTTCTACATGTTCATTTTTTACTGGAAAAGGCATACATAAGTAATTTTAAGGACCATAGTGCTTATCACGCTGCGCTTACCATGCAACATTTGCCATAAAAAAATCTAGCGTTTCCAACAGTTCGCTAATACCAGACGGTGGTGGCACCTGCCCGTCGCCTTGCGTTCTACACCTTATGATCTCTGAGACGGGTGCACACACTCGTGTTTGAGCCACGCACATAGTTTCCCAAGAAAATTGCCACATGGCGCTCTTGCCTCGTGTGTGGCGTGACTTGATGCGCTCGATCGCCTCCGCTGCACGCTCGAGGCACTCTAACGCAGCGCCTCTAGAATACCATTCACCGAGTTTATTGCGCAGAACATCAAATCAAAGTTTTGTTCGCTCTCTCTATACGCAAGACTATCGTATTTCGACGACATTTGCAGATTAACATGCAGATACGGGGCCATTTTTTTATTTTCTATGTTTCTTTATTTCGTGTTTCAAACAATGTAATATTTGGCTGTAGTTTTGAGAGGTTGTAAAAAAATGTCGACTTTCTTTAAATTCACGCCTGATCGCCATTGCTAACTTAAAATTGTAGAGATGATGTAGGGTAGTACTCTAGCCTGCTTAAACAATTAGTTTGTGTGAGCATCATATCACAAGTTAAAAATGATTCTAATATACTTCTTGTGCATCAGGTACAGTTTTCGCAAGTTCGTGTAAGTTGTAGTCCGCTATACTAAGAAACAATAAGTAAAATAGGAATAGAAAAGTGATTTCTAAAGTAAGAGATTTACCTTGTATGATAGAACAGTTTTGCTACTGTACACCATACGCACTACGCGAGGTAAGTGACCTACCACACTCTCAGTGTGTTCGTTTCAAAACACATTGCCTGAAAATATACATACCTCCTAGAAATTTTACACTATTTACTAGCTCAATACAGAAATCGCGATACTTGAGATCTATGTTTTTATTGACGGGCTTATTTTTAGGTTGGAATATTACCACGTTTGTTTTATAGTGTTCATGCTTAAAATATTACAGCGTGACCAGAGCTTCAGTATCACAAAGAAAAATCTGGTCCACTTTTTCCTCAAGCGTGATACTACCTTCAGCTGAAACAAACATGCTGACATCACTGGCATATACGACGTATTTAGCATCTGGATAAATACGAGTTAAATAAATTATGTTGGCTATAAAAAGAAGGTGTCCAAAGATGCTTCCCTGAGGTACGTTCGTATTATTAGGCTCCAGCTTTGAGAATTTTTCATCTATTTCAACGACCTGTTTGCGATACTTAAGGTAACTTCTTATTAGGTCTAGTGCATGACCACGAATTCTATAGCATTGAAACTTTTCAAACAACCTGGAATGCTGAATGTTGTCGAAGGCCTTACTAAAATCAACAAACATACTGAAAACAGCACGCTTGTTTCGTGTTCCGAACGTTCCACAATGCCTTCCAAGTTATTTTTGGTATAACCGATGTCGCTGTAGCTCGCTGTTCCACTTTAGTCGAATAAATATTTTTTCTGTTTGTGGAGCTTCTTTTACCATCTGTGAAACGCAGGGGCAAAACACTATAAAAAAGTTATGCATTTATACTTGCGTAATTTTTTAAAACTGAAGACGTTCGGTAGAGTTTGTCTCTTACCACATATAGCGCCAGAAATGTCGCGCAGCTGTGTGTGTTTGCTGCAAAAACTGTTAAGTTGTTGCCCCAGAGAAACAGTGGGCAATAAAGGGTTAAGGTCTTGCTCTGTGGTGCGAAGGTGTGGTGTGCGTCTATGTGTTTTTGATAAACAGCGGGATACCATTGTTTTGAAATGAGAGCAAGCTGCAAAACTCACGGCGGCCGTTTGATAGGTTTGAGGTGGTCGACAACTGCATTCGGAATGGCAGCCATGTTTGTCGGAGGAGCTTGCATTGCGATTCGAACAGCTTTCCTGCGGATGGTGGTGGCCGCCGCTCTACTGCACGGCACCATTACGGCAGGCTTGCCGCTAGCGTGCACCGGCCCGAAACCATTTTTCGAGCGGCGAAGAATGGCAGACGTGCACGAAGCAAACAGCCGCGCATGGCTGCCTAAAAACGTCGAACGACAAGGCAGACTTGCGGCTAGTGTGAACCGGCACTTACGTGATCTCTTCGACCGGCGGACGGGCTGTTATGACCGGCATTGCAATGACACGCATGTGGGCACCTTCGTTGGCGTACCATTCAAACGCGGTGCGCATCCTCTAGGAACGCAAGCGTTGCCTGTGTGCGCTTCAAGCACCGTGCATCGGCGTCACTGAGACGCGCAGTTGGCGTCGGACAAGAGGCGCGTGCACGGACCGAGGGTTAATAAAGGAGCGTCGCGTCTGCGCTGCTTGCTCTCCATTTGGTCTTCGCTTGGCCCTGCTCTCTCGTGTACCATGTAAAAGTGCTTCTGCTCACATAATTCGTTAAAGATCTTGTTATATGTAAACAACTCGCTTGATCTTTGTGTGAGCAAGATGCCCTGCAAGACTGTCTACTTTCCCTGCGCCTGCATAAAAGCTTCTGCCGCGCTCCTCGGTCACATCAATAGATAGATAGATAGATAGATAGATAGATAGATAGATAGATAGATAGATAGATAGATAGATAGATAGATAGATAGATAGATAGATAGATAGATATATAGATAGATAGATAGATAGATAGATAGATAGATAGATAGATAGATAGATAGATAGATACGGTAAAACTCACCGAAGTTCACTGAGAAATGCTTCGCACCTAATAAGGCGACTCAAAGATAAAAAGCCCAAACCGTGGGCGGCACCGTCTGCGTTGCGCGCAAAAACAGCCGGCCGAGCTGGTGCTTACCGTCCCACCATTTTCCCGTCGCTACGGCAGGTGGTGCAAGGGTAGTCGTAAACTCCACTGTATGAATCCTTTGTCACCGAGGCGGTATTAGAAACTTTCTCTACTTATGGTCGCCCAAAAAGGGGGCTAGACTACATTTACGAACTTTACGCCGTTGTGGCAGGGCTTGCGCTGAGTGCTGTTTTTTGTGTGGCAGAATCACAATTGCAAATTAAAAAATAATAAGTGCACGTGATATCATTCCAGTACGCAAATAATGGGGAATAGAGGTAAGAAGCACTCCTGATAATCGCCACGTCACATTGAACTTAAGAAAACAGACCTGTTTGAGATATAATTTAAAACACGAAAAATAAAATGCGTACCTAGCACCTGACATCAAAATGAGATGATGAAATAGGTTCAGATGGTGATTTTGTGCATACTCTGAGGTTTTTTATGGCACATTTATTGGTAAGGTTATCTCAACATGTAAACAAAATTTCAGTTTGGCCAGTTCACCTAGAAAATTCACCTGAAATGAGGGAGCAAGATATCTTTAGATATCTTTCTGCCTTATTCTAGACTATCTCAACCCAAAGAAATTATTGGCCGAGGATTAGTAATGTAAAAAATTGTGGCTGCTTCTTTCATGCTTGACGCTAATTGTTTGAACCCTGAAGTAAGAGAGAAGTTCGGTATATTTCCGCTTTTCTTCATTTCTTTCTCTTTTTCTTCTATATCTTCCTCTCAGTTTTTTTATCTATATTTTTGTGGCAGTTGCTTTGTGTTTTTTGCATTATCTCTCTATTGCATTTTTTCTGGTTCTTCCTGTCTTCATCCTTTTTCTGTTCTTTCTCACTGCTTCTTTTTTTCCCTTTCTTTATGTTTTTCTTTTGTTTGCTCTTTTTTCTATCAAATATTCATGTGTGTATTTTTACACATCTTTCACACTCTTTCCTTTTGCTCTGCCTTACTGGCTTTCCTACTGTCTCGCCCTCCTTGCCATGTTTATCTTTCTTTCTACTTTTATTTATTACCCTGCCTCTTTCTCACTTCATGTCATTATTATTTTTCATATCTTAATTTTTCTTCCTCTTCTTTTTATCACTCCGTCGATGTCTGCCTCTGTAATTCTACCACACTCTTTATCTTGCTCTTTTTCAAGATGTTCGCTTTCGTTTCACACTGGCACCTGCTGTACTAAGCAGTGGGGTTAGCCAAATTCCTGTGAAGCATACTTTTTTGCGGGGCGTTGTGGTGACATCGAATATAAGCATCTTTCCAGTTAAAGAAAATAACTTTTTTTCAGATCCTCAATTGTTTTACACAGATACAAATTATCTGGTACAGAATGTGTACTTGCCTTTTGTTGTGGTCGAGGATTGCAGGGGAACAGCCGGTTCATAGTTTGGGCAGTTTCGATAAAGGTACATACGTGGTTGCTTTCGTTTCAGGTAGTGCCAAGCCGTGGTGAAGCATGGCCTAGACCAATGTTTCAGACGACAGGCCCGAACGTCATCTTGCTTGACCCAAGAACCTTCAGCTTTGTGTTCGTCGGCTCTGCTGGTGGTTGTGACGTAACGGATCGGGCACTTAGGAGATACCGCACTCACCTCCTCTTCAATGACTGCGCACCGACGGGAGGAGTGTCTGGCAGCCTGAGATGGACACCTCGCCGCAACCATTCTGTTGGAGTACCGGTGGCCGACATCAGCTCCCTCCTCATCCACCTCCGTGGACCTTGCGAGCACACCCCACATCATGACATGGACGAATCATGTGAGTTGCGTGGTGGCAGTCCACGCATTTTTAGTCAAGGACAAATACCTTAAGACATGGCGCAACACTCCAGCGATTATTTTTTGTCAAAGAACACTTTACTAACCTACTGAAATGTTCAATTCGGAAAGGTTATATTAGCTATTTACGCTAACTATTGAAGCGAAGAAACCGTGCATGTTCTTCATTCTTCTCTCTTCATTAGGCACCACATTTTCCGAAGCATATTGGTTAAATTTCGCAAAGGGTCTTTCCCGAAAACATAGTAAAAGGGTGTGTTTCCGTGAAATTAAACACAAACCAATTGTGCGTAGCTTGGTCACATTAACTGATTTTGAACCATAGGTATCTTTGTCACCACTTGCTTTCATAAGTATAGGCTAGGCAATCTAATAATGTTCACACACACTCACACAAACACACACACACACACACACACACGCACACAAACACACACAATCATTGAAAGCGAGAATGCTATAGGCATGTGTGCCCAGATTTGGGTGTGCGTTAAAGAACCCCAGGTGGTCGAAATTTTCGGAGTACTCCACTACAGCGTTTTTCGTAATCATACGGTGGTTTTGGGACGTTCGCCCCCACCCAGATATCGCTCAAACACACACACATTGTCTGCGCTGCTTCCATATTATTCTCTCTCGCACACCTTCTCTTTTCGTTTATTTAAAACATATAGGGTCCTTGATTTATACCGTGCTACCTTTGTCTCGTAGATTCTCTGCAATTGTCGGCAAAGGCACAGCCATCGCTGACGGCGGACTCGGTGTGGGGAGTACTCCGGGGTCTGGAAACGTTCAGTCAGATTGTTTACCCTTACGACGGCACCAAGGTATGAGTCAATGTTGTTTGGGTGAAGCACTATCATTGTTAGTCTCTAGTGAGCAATAAGTGAAGTAATTGAAAAGTCAGAGCTTCTGTCGCAAAGGCGAAGCAATAAATGCGATGGGAATTCTACCTAATTGTGACGACAATAACACCAAACAGCACGCAACAATTTGGGCGCTGCTCAAGCCCGAAATACACACGAAAAGAACCCTTGCGCTTCATGTGAACAAGGTCCACGAACAAGGCACAGACAGTTTCCGCAGCAATGACTGCGACTACGAGCCATCTTTGAAGATGTGACATTCATTCCTGTCAAGATACCACAAGGAACGCACGCGTCTCAGTAATGCAGTATATTATTTCTACAATGGCAACTACGTGTGAGTAAGCCTTTTCTCGAGTTGGCTCCTTCTGAAGGAGTTAATATGTCTGTCGAGTTGAGCATTTTCTAGCCTCTGGGAAGGCTCACTCTCTGTGTAGTTTTTTTTTCGCTTTTCCGTCTTATTAAAATTGTAGTACAATATATATTACCAGTCACTTGTCACTTTTTATTTTGCCAGCTCATTGCACGTGTCGATGCTGCTTTGCACCATGCTAAAATGTCTGGGAGCATTGCAAATAAGTCATTTTAGAAACATCGGATAGGCTTGAACGCAAAAACGCGTATGACGAGGTCTATTCTTGAAGAAACGCAGCCCCTTGCTATAACTCTTAAATGTTCCAAGCAGCGTGTATAAATGCCTACGTGCCGTGCTGCTGATCAGTTTATCAACGGTCGGCGCTGTGTGACAGAGAGGTTAAAGTTGGACAAATGCAGGGAGGTCAACCAGATATCTCAATGTCTGGTCTGCTACCCTGCACTAGGAGCAGGTGGAATAGGGAAGAAAAATGAGAAGGGTAGAAAATAGAAAAGTAGACGTGTGATATAACGAAAAAAAGAGAGCGGGGACCGACGCTGTGTTCCCTAGTACCAGCTTAGAGTGTGCAATGCTTCTAGTTTCCAATCTCCTGGCCACAAGCTCGGCCAAATAAAGTTTATTTTGGACACACTGACTCTGCCTTCGCCAACATCCCGACCACGTCCTATCTTGTCAGGCTGCTGTTTCTCCACTTTTTACACGCTCCCGTCAAGCTTTGAACTCAGTCCAAGTTCCAAAGAAGACATCGATGCCAACCCTGAGCATCGAGGAAGGCGTAGGCAACAAGATATGCCACCAGAGTGCTGGTCTTCACCTCAAGTGACCCGGAAGACCGAAAACAATACCACGTCTGCCACGATGGATCAGTGGCTAAAGTGCTCGGCTGCTCATTCAAAGGTGATGGGTTTAAACCCGGTCGTGGCGTTCACATTTTAAAAGAGGCGAAGTGGTAAACGATCATATACAGGGCCCTTTCCATGCATCAACACCAGGTGGTCGAAACTTCCGGACCCTTCATTACGGCGTCTCTCATATTATTATCACAATTGTGTCCCTCAAAACTCCAAATATTATTATTCAAGTCACCACGACGACTGCAGCATCAATGACAGCTGCCGCTGCGTCACCGTCTCCAAACATGAAACAGCAGCCATGAGAGCCACTAATATTTCGGAAATCACCATGAGAGGTTAAGAGGATGTGGCTTGAGTCGCACGGGCAGACTGCGCTCATCAACAGTTGGGAACCTGAACGACAAGATGCACCTATTATACTCCTTGTTAGAAGACAGTGACTGGACCTGTTTTGAGAAAAGGGAGTTCGCCCTGGCAATGTTGGAGATCTTCAGGATCACTTCCTCGCAATAATAACAGGTGTCGTTTGAAAAAAGTGGCTGCTATTTTACTGGATACATTATTGCAGCTTCCGAATGAGGTGCGCTACCATTTTTGCAGAGGAGGCGACTCCATTTTCCGGCAACACCGATGCTTAAATGTCCAAAGAAAAGAAGGCGTGAGAGAATAAACTTCCCGCCTGACAAGAGCACAACAAGATCGTGCTTCATAGGACAAGAACACAACCCGACGAAAATTGTCTTGGAGCTTGTTTGGGAAACCACAAAATTATTCAAATGCACTACAAATATCTGCAGCAGGCAATACAGTTGTCACATGCCCACGACGACCTGCGGGGATGTTAAGTAGTAGAAGCCAACAATCTGCACTAAATGGCCGTGCGTGAGAAGCTGAAGAAGTTGTTGCCCAGATCACAAGCTTATATGGATTCGATTGCCGATACTGTTCTCGAAAAACTGCAGCAGTCGCTAAGTACCAATGAATCGCCACAGCCTCAAGCGCCGATATTCAGCTACACTGCTGCCGCCCGATGTAACGTACTGTCTGAACGCCACAATCAGGACGCCGCACAGCAAAACGACCACTGCCAAACTCGTCCAACGCAAAATACCGTCACCACCTCACCTACTACACGCCGAGGAAGACATATCTGGCACGCCTCCGACCCCTGTACACTATCGTAATATTGCGGAGAAGCCCGCCACACGTACCGCCTATCACAGTAACGTGAGACGGGAAAACATAGTGGCGCCGTTAGTGTGCCACGAGCACAGCTAGGCTAATGGCCTCGTGACGTCGCCGACTACATCAGCAGTGTACAGTGCCAATAACGACGATTATAGTGCTCACCGTCGCCCGGCTGCTACATCTCGCCGCACTGCCGGCAGGTACATAGTTGATGTAGTCGATGACGCCACGAGGGCGTTCGGCTGGCTGCGGACGCGTCACACCAACGGAGAAACCACGCCGTCCTGTCTGGTGGAATGGCTAAACCCGGGATTAGTCGCCTAGCTCATGTCATATAAACTGAGGAATGTGTCATATAGGGTTCGAAACGAAACCGAAACAGAGAAGTCCGCATTGAAGACGACGAGAAAAAGTACGTATACAGGCGGCGAAATCGCGCGTGTGACGTTCGAGGCAGCTCTTAGCTGGAAGTGCGATCTGGTGAATTCGTGAGAGTCCTCAGAATACTGTTCTGTCCCTGGAATACGGCTGGGTGACGTCCAGGGACCAGGTGGCATGTGGCTGATCCTGCTGCCGTTCGTTACTGTTGGGCGACTTACGGACGACGGCTGCACTCTGGCTGGGTGACTGGTCCTGGTTTGAGGCGTAGTGCCTTGCTTCCCGCCGCCGTCCAGAGTGGCTGCGAGTTCCGGTCTGCTGTGCGCTGCTGCTTCGGCTGCCACTCCAAGAGGCTGGCATGATCTCGGTGAGCCACCGCTACCGTACTTCTGTGGGTGCGAAAGACAGCCACCTCATCGCATGGACCGACTCACGCTCAGGACAGCAGTGAGCTGGAGGCGCAACGTCCTGAATAAGCGGCGACCAAGAAACGATTGGCCAAACACAGCGAGATATTTTTATACCAGGCGCGCATTTAGAAATGACTGCTTGAGACAGGCTTACAATATTTATGCGTCTTTAGTATTGGCATTTTCCGCCGTAAATATATTTTTGTTTCATGTGTGCACTCGTTGATAAACCTGTTTCCTGGGCTGGCGGTCCTGTGCCCAACGAATACCCTGATATTAAATCCCAGGCAGCTGTCCACAGATCTGTGGTTGCTCTAAGATGACCTACCGATGACATTGTGCTGACACCAACGATGCCTTGACAAAAATTTTAGAACATGGCTTGAACTAGACGAAACATCACGTGTCCAGGAAAAATTTGTAACAAAATGAGTCATCGCCCACACGAAGGAACTGTTGAGTTTCTGCGTTCCTTCTGCGGTCTGCGGTCGAAACATTCTTGAGTGGGCTTTCGCAGTTGATTAACAGCATGTTTTTCTTGCACGCCGCTTTCCATGCTTCAGGCACTGCCTGAGCATCGCGGCTGCATCTCAGCATCTCAGCATTGATTTGCGGCTGTCCTACACCTTCACGTACTTGAAACCGACCATTATAAGGTACACAGTAATCCTGGCATACTTGGGAGCGCTGTATTCGATGTGACGAATGTCGAAGACGTGACCATGACCAGTCTGGATCAAGTCACGCAAAGTCGGCATTACCATCGTGGCGCTGTTGATGACAAACACTTGTGCATTCATGACGACTGTCGACTCGCTGGCCTGGCAATATCAGATTGTTCCATGGTTCTGCCGCTGGCCACTGCTTCATCAAGTTGATGCCACTTAGTTCCCTGCTCGAATGTAGATTGGAAGTGATGCTTCTCAAAGGTTCTAGTATGCATGCCATCGATTCCGATAGCAATGAAAGGTGACAGTGACTATACGTTGATGTTCGTAGCGGAACCGTGACTCACGGCAAACAGCGCGCTAGACAGGGCGCTTAAGTTGGACTTCATGGGCATTGCAACAACCATCCAAAAGTAGTTTCGATCGCAGTTACACCTCTGCTGAAGCGATCAATTTTCCCAGGAGCAGCTTGCCCATAAGTGTCAGATCCGATGAGGACACTTATCTCTTCAGGTTGTCATGCATTTGTTTGACGGCTGTCAACTGCGTTGTACCCCCGTTCATCAAGCCAGAGCAAAGTGTTGGGGTCGAGCAGTGGGCTTGTGACAAAGCATATTTCCGGAATCGTTAATGCTTCAACGGTTATTGCTGAGTCGTCGAACTGGCTGCGCAGTGGCACGTTCACGCTCTGTGTAGATTTGTCTGGCTAACCTTGAGTCGCCAAACGTGACGAGAGATATGAACCACCGATCAATATGTGAGTTGAAGAGTTTTCACCGTATTTTGACTGAACAGTACGAGCTTCTCAGAGGAATCGGTGAAGAGATTGCAAACACAGTTGACATCGATCATTTGGAAGCGGAAATGGAAGAAGCTGAACTTCATGAACACCAGATTATTCTAGCAAAGGTGAGAGCAGAGTATAACATTGACGATGCACAAAAGCTCGGCAAAGTCACGAGGAAGCGATAAAGCAACGAATGAGAGCAGAAGCAAAAAGGAAAATACTCTCTTCGTCTCCGTCATCACCATCTAGCCATAACGTGCCGAATAGCAATCTTGTCGCGCAGAAGCTAGATGAGTAGGT